TCCTGCGGCGGGCGGGGGGCTGTTCGGGTCGACTGGTACCGCGTTCGGGTCGACGGGTACCGCTTTCGGGGCGGCACCGGCGGTGGCGGCAACGCCTGCCCCGGCGCCGGCGCCGGCGACGACGACGACGACCAAGAAGAAGAACAAGGGCAAAGGACGGAGAAGCCACTACTAGCATTGAAATAGTCGCGGAAGGCCTCAGACGGGGGAGGACGCGTGGGGGTTAGCAGCGAGAGGGGGGCATCTACTACGCGCTCTGCTCTTTTGGTAGCCGCGTGGTGTGGCAGAGAAGGATTATGGTGTTTTGTGAGCCGTTTCTAGCTGCTGGAGACAGCAGTTTCCGTGCTTGCGTGGGTGCGGAACACGCGCAAGCCTGGCGAGAGGGGGGCGTACTCATTTGTTGCTTGCCGTAGTCATTTGACCATTGACCACGCGTCCCTTTCGAGACGGAGCGAGAGGGGGGGGGCGTTGGCTAATACACAGTTTGGTGGGGCACATGGGGCGTGTGGTGGGGTTGTTGACGCCTGTTGTACTTTTGTTTTCCGTTTTTTCGCCGAATCCGTTACTTTTTGGTTCCGGCAGTGTGGAGTACGTCGTCGTCCGATTTTGGTGTAGATTTAGTATTTCAATTCTTCCCGTCCGTGAGTTTTACTTCTGTTGTGTAGAATATAAAAAATATAAGAATCCCGGGGGATATGCTCCGAAGCTGGCTGCGTGTGATTTTCGATTTTCCACCGGAAGTCTCCGTGATGGTGGAAGTATGTTGCCGCTCATACTTTTCAAGGTTGCAATTGTTGTTCATCACTCGGTGCGGTCACGGCGACGGCCATAGTTATCATTTGACTTGTAATTTCGGTCACAGTCAGTACTGGCACTGGAGCTGAAGATAACACGCGTGTTGCGTCTGCGGGCGCCCTTTCGGTTGGTTGCTGATGTGTGATTCGTCGCTGGTTTGTGACTCTTTTCGGTCCCCACTGTGTAGTTACATAGCTGGGTTGCTTTCCTTTGTTCCAGATTTACCTCGGGGCTGGGCATCGTATCTGTTGCATGCATACCGCCGTCAAAGGTTGCAACTACCATGTGCTGTGAGGACTTATGTTTCTCGGCATTCTCATGTCCGTTGATATTGCCGACAACTCTCGCTTATCTGACGACGCTTATCTATACCGGGGTGTCCTGTTGGGAACACTGGTAGCGTGTTACCCGTCTGAGAGAGAGATTTTTTCTGAACTGCACTTGTTGGCGGACAATCACCACACGGCACTGCTGTTGCCCAATTATCCTGTTACTACTCTCTGTCGGTGGGCGTTCGCTATTGGTGTCTGACGTTTAGGGTCGTCTCGGGTACCCCTCGTCCCGCCGTGCATCTTCTCTTAACCTGACTCAATTTTTGTGGCCTGAGGTTTTCCTTTTAGAGGGATGGCGTGCTCTGTGGCCGGCTATGATATGGTGCTAGATGCCAAAGGTGTTTGTAAGCTTCACTCCTAACGCGTTGATGCGCCTTCTCTGGCCCTCTTGTACGAGTGAGGTATTGGTTGTTATTAGACTCCACGGAGGATGGCCCCCATCTATCCAAAAACGAAGCGGGTGACAAAGCAAAACGCTTAACCGCCTACCGGCGGTACAAATCTTGCTCTCGGGACCGATACCCTATGAGAAAAAAATACGAGGCAGCATTTGTACGGTCCCGGTTCTCGCGGGCGGGGTTGTGGCGAGGTAGAGGTGGCGATAAAAAAAAACATTCCTGGCGTGTGTCCGGCTCAGATGAACTGCCTGGTCAACACGAAGATAAAACAGTAGACGTAGGGTTCGTTGCTGTCAAACCGACGATACGAGCTGGCCTTGGGCATATTCGCTTGGGCCACTTCTTTTGCGGCACAACAGGTCTGCATGCACCCGAACCGAATCCAATGTCGTTGGTCCAGCTTCCACCATGGGGCAGCCAAGCTTAGATACAAACAAACTGTCGTTGCCTCCTGATGGAGGCAACCAACCCACGATGCCATAGGCCGAAAACGCTGCTGCTGATACGTATCCCTTCCGAACAACTGAGGATGAACACGCTGAATCTCGTATGCCCCAACCCCCCCCCCCTCTTAGGCGCAAAATATGTTAAGAGGCCAGCAGTTCTTGAACCTGTGGTTGCAGTGATGGTTGGAAACACTTCTTCAATGCAAGCCTTCCGATCTACTCTGTGTCCCTAGCTGATACCGAAACCAGGGGGTTGAGCGGCGAAAAACGCCAAAAACACGAAGAAACCCATCACCTAAACAAAATCGGGTCCAACAAACCCTGACACCGCAAGGCCACGCGCCAGGTTATCCGGAAAATCAAACGGTGAGTGTGGCTTGCTGCTGGACAAAAAAAAAAAAAACGGGACCCCTACCCCCCCTAACCCTGGTGCCTAGTCTCCCCATGGCCAATAAGAAACAAAGGTTCTCACGCCTGCTGCATTTCGCGAGACTTAAGGCCCTCCGGTACGCTGTATACGATGTGGCACACTTCGTGTACGAGAAGGTCGCCGACGACCTCCTTGTTCTTAGAGTAGTCGTCGCTGCAGGTTAACGTAGGGGTAGCGGAAGGAGCGAGGCAGAGAGGGGAAGAGGGTGGGTGTGTGTATATGGTAAGGTCCGGGGTAGGCGATAAATACAACATACCACACCAAGTAGTTACGTCCGTATCAGACACGCTGCTTGAGAAGAGAGAGAGAGAGAGAGAGAGAGAGAGAGAGAGAGAGAGAGAGAGAGAGAGAGAGAGAGAGCGAAACATGTGGGCAAGCATAGGGATATAATCCCACAACAAACAGGCCGGATCGTTCTTTATAAAATTTTGTGTCGCAAGCAGCGGCGCCTGCGCGACGAGGGAACATAGCATGCCGGCTCGTGCCGCGAATCTATCCTCGTCTGCAAAAAGCCGTACGCGGTCGACTTTGGAGCTCTGGAAACAGCGGTATATGAAAGCACACAAAATACGCCACTGCTACACCTCCTTCATGAAAAATACTCCCATGTAAGGCAGCGCTCATCCGATGCTGTGGGAGGAAGACACTCACGTCATACTCTGGATCGCAGCGTCGGTTTGTGCGCCCAGCGTGTCCCCTTCCTTTCCTGTTGACCCCATCGACTGAGAAATTAAAAGGACAGCAGACAAGGGCGGAGGAGATACTGTCATTGTTTCAACACGCGGAGAGTAGTCGAAGAAACACCTACATACCCTTCGATCGTTTACTCGTCAGCAGAAACGCTCTTTAATTAAGGATACAAACACACAGCCAACCGCGGGGAGGGGGTGCGAGAGGACAAATTTCATCGAAGGTGGGATCGTGTCGTAGACAAAAATGGATGGTACATGATGCAGGAGACGGCAGTGTATTGGGCCATGCGGAACTTTCTAGGGGGTCAAGACATGCCTCAGTTACTATCATAGCACACAAAATCGTTTCAGGAAGGGTCAACTTCCCCTGATACCAAAGCTGCAACAACAACCAAAACAATGCTGTCTCGAAAAACATGGCATTCATTCACGGGCGGTGGAACGAACATCGAATATACCCCGCAACGAAAACAAGAGGGAGAGCGGCCGACCTAACGCGAGACCCATCTGTCATGCCGCGAACCACGAGGGCGTTGCCCTCGGATGTATCCAGCATAGATGGACCGCAACTCTTGATCCCACTTACGGCAGTGTGCACCGCTACCGACCCTATCCACAGCCATGAGCAACGCAAGCGTCTACGGTCGGAGAAAGTTGGCTTGCTGATCACTTGTCTGCATTGCGGGCTTGAATGTACCCCCCAAAACCCGAAAAATTGAAAAATATATGAACACAACGACAACAAAATATTCAGCTATATCCCTTGAGTCTAATCGTTCTCTCTTCATCGTTGCTGCTCCACCGTACGTCGGACCAGAATCGTTGTGTGCTCGCGCCATCGTGGGAATCGTTCTAAATCTTGTGGTTCGGTCACCTTCTGCATGCTAGCCTGGTAAGCCGCCTCCTTCTCCGCGCGGAAGGCGTTGCAGAGGGCCTCGGCCTCCTTCTTGGCCTCCTTCATGCGCTTTGATCGCGCTACACGATATCGGGTCGGGTCGGCGCGCGCGGGGGGGGGGGGGGGGGGGGGGGGATCCCTTCACGGGGAACGTTTGGTTCTTGTTTGACACAAGCCCCTCTGCTATACCCTACTTCGAGTACTTTGCATTTTCCAGTGACTTTCGGGCGTTCACCACTCCTGTTTCTTATTGAGACGTTCTGATCTAGTCGCCCACATTGAACTTTATTTCTTTGCCCCAATTTCTCGGTTTTCGCGAAGATCTGAGCCTTATTTTCGTAGCAGAAACGTTCTTTGCTGCAAGCGCCATCTGTTTCTCAAGTTTATTATGGTCAATTATTTTTTGCCTAGAGCGGCCTGATCCACGGCGGCAGTACCTTATCAACCCATTGGTTCCTCTGCGCAGCATGCTACAGTGCAACAAAGATACAGCCAAGACTGCGAATGCAACGAAGTTTCACAAATCGCGAAACGTGGCTTGGCACCTGACTGGGAGAAGGCACTTTTTCAATGTGACGTCGTCACCTGCATAGCCTCTTGTCGGACACGGAGCCTCTCTCCTCCAGTGCAATGGCTCTACGAAATATCCTGCGTCTCTTGGTCTCGAAAATCACCCGTTTTTTTAAAACATTTTGCCCCCCCTCCCTCCGTTTTAC